GACAAAGTTGGCAAAACCCTCCATGACATTGAAGCTAATGGTATCTTCAAAGATGCCACGCCACTGGCCAAGCAAGTGAAAACAGAGATAGATAAATGGGACTATCTTAAACTAAGAAGCTTCTGCACCTCCAAAGAAACAGTGACCAAAATACAAAGACAGTCTACAGAATGGGAAAGGATATTCGCCTAATACACATCTGACAAGGGGTTGATATCCAGGATATACAAAATACTGGTTGAACTCCACAAGAAGAAAACATCCAACCCCATTCAAAAATGGGGCAATGAAATGAACAGAAACTTTCTCAAAGCAGAAATCCGAATGGCAAAAAAGCACATGAGAAAATGCTCTACATCATTAATCATCAGGGAGATGCAGATCAAAACCACAATGAGATACCATCTCACACCTCAGAGACTGGCCCACATTCAAAAGAACAAAAGCAACCGATGCTGTCATGGATGTGGCGAGAAAGGGACACTCCTTCACTGTTGGTGGAAATGTCGACTGGTTCAGCCCTTCTGGAAAACAGTATGGACGATTCTCAAAAAATTAGAAATTGAGCTCCCATTTGACCCAGCAATATCACTCCTGGGAATATATCCCAGAGAGGCAAAAATGTATAGTCGAAGTGACATCTGCACTTGTTTGTTCATTGCAGCACTCTTTACAATAGCCAGAAACTGGAAGAAACCTGAATGCCCAAGAACAGATGACTGGTTAAAGAAACTTTGGTACATCTACACAATGGAGTACTATGTAGCTGTTAGAAAGGATGAGGTCATGAAATTTACATACAAGTGGTACAACATGGAAAGTATCATGCTAAGCGAAATGAGTCAGAAAGAGAGGGATAGACATAGAAAGATTGCATTCATCTGGGGGATATAAAGTAACAAAATATGAGATTAATACCCAAGAATAGCTGAGATCAGCACCAGGAGGATTACTCCATAGCTTAGTGGCCAGTCGGGCATTCTAGAGGAAAGGGCAGCTCAGATAGAGAAGGGAGCACCAAATAAAGGGTGTTTGGAGGATCCTCCCAGGAGGGGAGATGCATGTCGAAAGTAGACTATGGACTGAAACATGTTTGCCACTCAATGCCTCTTTTGCAGAACACAACACCCAAAAGGAGAGAGAGAACACAGGGGATTGCCCTGCCACAGAGACAGGGGGGATGGGGGATGGGGGTGGGGGGATATTATCCATGGTGGTGGAAAATGAGCACTGGTGGAGGGATGGGTATTTGATCATTGTATAATTGAAACCCAAGCACAAAAATTGTAAATCTACAACTGTACCTCATGGTGTTTCACTAATAAAAAAAATTTAAAAGAATTTGATGAGGGAAAAATCTTTTACAATCTCAAACCATCACTTTGCAAATTGAGAAAAGAAAAGTAATAACTAGGATGTGAAAATTGTCATATAGCATTAACATTGGTAATAATGGGACATTTTGATCCCTCTTGTGTAACTCAATAAAAAGAAAAAGTGATAATACTTGAATTTACTTTTTATTTTTGGGTCACACGTGGTGATGCTCAGGGCTTACTCCTGAATCTGTGCTCAGGAGTCACTCCTGGTGGTGGCTAGGGAACTATGTACATGAGGTGCTGGGGATTGAACTTGAGTTGGCTGTGTGTAAAGCAAGTACTGTACCCTCGACTATCTGTTTGGCTTAACAAAATTTGAGTTTAAGCCTAAAAAAATTTTGAAACAAATCAAAAGTGAGGAGGATTCTATAAAACACCTAGTTTGTAGTTTTAAAAATAGTCTAAGGAGATATAACAGCTACATATGCTGGATTTTATTCTAGATTATAAACATAGCTATAAGCAGTATTATTTGCATTTTTCATGAATAATTGGCAAATTAAATATGGAAAATATGTTATATGTTAATCCTGTTTCATTACTTTATAAGTTTGATAATTAAATTGAGATTAGAAGGTAGTAATTTTATACTGACATATTCATGGAAAAAGGCAGCTTATACTCAGATTATTCAGAATGCTATGTATGTACTTACATATTTACATGTGTGAGAAAGGAGACAGAGAAGATAATACATATGTAACACAATGTTAACAAGTAGTGAGTGTGAATAAAGGGTATGTGTGTGTGTGTCTTTGTAATTGTGTTGCTTCTCTTTAACAGAAATTATTCTAAAATAAAAGGTTGAATATTTTTCTAAAAATCTATTAAGTCAAATTTATTAATCTGTCTTTATAGTTTTTTGTTTTTGTGCTTTACTTGGGAAATCTTTTCTTTATCTCATTATTATAAGAATATTACCTCTACTTTGTTTTTATGATTTTATTTGTTCATGTCAAAAACTTTGATCTAGAAATTTGGGTATAGAAGCAGAAAAATGATCCAGATTCCTTCCTTCCTTCCTTCCTTCCTTCCTTCCTTCCTTCCTTCCTTCCTTCCTTCCTTTCCCTTCCCTTCCCTTCCCTTCCCTTCCCTTCCCTTCCCTTCCCTTCCCTTCCCTTCCCTTCCCTTTCTTTTCTTTCTTGGATTTTAGGCTACACCTGGAAGTGCACAGAGCTTACTCCAAGCTCTGTGCTAGGGATCACTCTAGGCAAGGCTCAGGGGACCATATAGGGTGCTAAAGATCAAACCTAGGTCTGCAGCATTGTTGAAGGCAAGCCCCCTACCCACTTGGCTGTCTCTTGGGACCCCAATATATGTAACATTTCTTGAGTATTTGAAACATTTATATTCCTTTGTTGTGTTTATTTGTATGTTTTAATTACTTATTTATCTTATTCTCCGTATTTTTTCATGCATTGGTTCTTCTAGAAGAATTTCAAAGTACTATAAATTGGGGATTATTTAACTTTAGGTAGCAAACAAATTCTAAAGGGTTTATTTGGTTTATATGAGGCTTTATTATGTAATATGAATACAAGTAGAGCAAGCACATCGCACTGAAGTTAAAATATTAAGGGAGATTTGTGCAAATGTGGCATAAATATTTAGAGAATCACTCCAATGTTTTGCTACACAACTTAATCTCAGTTAGTAGCAGATCTATTAGTCAAATTACAGAGAGGAATAATTGGATTGGCCTTTGGCTAAGCAATAGATTGGGTTCTTTCTCACTCAGTTGCTTGTTGCAGCTATACATTACAGATGATTTTTATGAAGTGAAAGTAATAGGAGGTGAGTATGTGGATTTGGCAGACATCCAAAAAATGTCTAGCAATAAAGTTTGCAATATTGGGGCTGGGAAATAGCTCAAATGCTTTCTTTGCACTTGGGAGTCCCAATTTGACCGTGGCACTGCATGGTCCCCTAAATAGCGTCTGTCTTGACCCTTGAGCACCAGGAGTAGCCCTAAGATTTTGGGGTGTGGTTGAAACAACAAAAGAAAAAGTTTTGCCATATTAAGTCTTTTAGGTTATGAACAATGTTGGTCTCTTCATCCACTTAAATCTTTTCAATATCTCATTTTAGGATCTTAGTGTTTTTAGCTTTAAAATATTAGTCTGGGGGTGGGAGGTTGCAGGAGGGAAACTGGGGACATTGTGTTGGAAAATGTACACCGGTGGAGGGATGAGTGTCGGTACATTGTATGACTGAAACCAGATTGTGAACAGCATTGTAATGGTGTATCTCATGGTGGTTCAAAAAAATAGATAAATAAATAAGTTTTAAAAATTCTTAAAGAGAGTGAAAAATGTGTTCCGGGAATGGCACAGTAGGGCATTTCCATTGCATGTGGTCAACTTGGGTTCGATCTTGGCATTTCATAGGGCCCACCCTAGCACTGCCTTAGTGCAAAGCCAGGAGTAGCCCCTGAACATTACCAGGTATACCCCAATAACTGCACTATAGCACTCCACTGTCCTCCCGTTGTTCATCGATTTGCTCGAGCGGGCATAAGTAATGTCTCCATTGTGAGACTTGTTACTGTTTTTGGTGTATCGAATACATCACGGTTAGCTTGCCAGGCTTTGCCGTGTGGGCATGATACTCTCGGTAGCTTGCCGGGCTCTCTGAGAGGGGCAGAGGAATTGAACCGGGGTCAGCCCAGGCTGGCTGCGTGCAAGGCAAACACCCTACCCGTTGTGCTATTGCTCCAGTCCAACCCAATAACAACAACAAAAGAGAAACAACAACAAAAATATTATTCCTAAATATATTTACATATTTTATGCTTGCTATTTTGATGTAATCTTCCTTTTTCCATTTATTTATCTGAATGGTTGATTAGTTATTATTTGTATATAGGAAAGAAATTTAGGTTTTATATTTAATTTTAACCAATGATTTTATTAAAATGTTCAACTATTTCTAATTGATGTCATTTATTTCTCTTGATTTTTCTATTTTATTGTCTACAAAAAAGATTGTTTTGTGTTTTAATAAAATATTTCCTATTATCTTAAAATTCTTATCTTTTTATCATGATCAGAAAGAGGTCAATAGGTTTATTTTCCTTTGTAAACCAAGAAAAAATCCACAAAACTATTCTGTTCCATTTTGTCGGGTCTAACAAAATGTACTCATTGAACTTTACTGAAAGTTACCTGTCCAGTCAACAAGAGATCTATCCATACTCCCTTCCATCCAGCCACTTATCCATTTATCTATCCATCCACCCATCCTTCCACTAAATGTTTATTGCTGTCATGTTTTTTCCCATTGCTCTTTATAGATATGGCAAGAAAGACACAGTCCCTGACCTTAAAGACTTTAGATGGGGAGACAAACACAAAACCAAGCAAATATTATAGTGTGTGAAATAGAGTTCACAGTATTAACAGGAGTTCATAAAGGAGTCCACTTACGCCAGTCTCAGGCAGTCAGGGAGGGGTGTTGGAGGAAGGGGACACAAGGGATTTCTGAGTATCTGAATGGAAGAAAGGCCACAATCAATAGTTGTGAAATGCTTTGAAGTGTTTGGGTACAAACATGTCAGGGTCTTTAGTCATTATCTGTTCTGAAATCTTCATGTATCTCAAGATTTTCAATTTGCCTTTGCAGCTCAGGGAGTCAATGGCGCTCTGGGGACCCCAGCCCTGGACACAAGTCTCCTGGAGGAGTTCCTGGGCAGTGATTTCGATTTAGGGGCCCTGTGAGTACCAAGAGCACTGCTCCCCATTTTCTGTTTTAAAATATATGAAATAATTTAACAAGCTGTGAAACGAGTCCTCATATTTTCTGTTAGAATGGGTATTATTTCTTCTAGAAATCTTTGACAAATTTCACCAGTGAAACCAACTTGTCCTGGAGTTTTCTTTTCTTTGCTCTTCTATTTTTCGGGGGGAGGTTTGGGATTTGTTTTATTTTTGCTTTTTGAGATTCTCAAGAGTTACTCCTGGCTTTGCATTCAGGAATTACTCCTAGTGTTGCTCAGAGGACCATATAGGATGCTGGGTCCATTGAACCTGGTCGACATTGTGCAAAGCAAAAACCCTACCCACTGTACTATTTCAGTCCTATTTTTGTTTTATACTTTATTGATTTTGCTTGTGTTTTCTGTTTTTAATATAGCTACTCTCTCTCTTGTTCATTTCTAATTTACATATATTAAAATTCCAATTTTTCTTCAGTTGTTTTATGATTGCTGACTTATTCAGGGCAGCATACTATGAGCAGCAGCCTTAGTTTCCTCACCTGCATATTTTGCCTCCAAGCCCTGAAGAGCACTGTTGCTTGTCTCTCTTATTTTAAAAATTAATTTATTTTTAAAATTTAATTTGCCCTCCCGTTGATCGTCAATTTGCTCGAGCGGGCCCAGTAATGTCTCCATTGGAGACTTTGTTGTTACTGTGTCTGGCATATCGAATACTCTTGGTAGCTTGCTGGGCTCTCCGAGAGGGGCGGAGGAATCGAACTTGCGTCGGCCATGTTGGCCGCTTGTAAGGCAAATGCCCTACCCGCAATAATTTATTACATTCAACACCAATCTTACCATTATTATACCTTCCCACCACCATTATTTCAGATTTTCCCACCCCACCCAAGCCTCCCCGAAAGCAGGTCTAAATAATTTATGTTGTATTGTTTTTATAAATAATCTGCTAAAAATGATCCAAAAAAGTCCCCTTAGAGGAAAGAATGTGAAGATTGTTGTATCACACCCTGGAGGCAGTAAGATCCTATATAAGTGATTACTATCATGTTGGTATAGATAAAACCTTGTGTGTGTGTGTATGTATATATACATATATATCAAGATCATTTTACTTCTACTTTTCACACTACTAAATGTGGTGTACTACTCTTGGACATCAGTGGCATTGAGTATGAGGTGATGTATGGCAGCAAATGTGGCCACATGCTCTAGGAATTCTAAAATTTTAAATAGAATGATACAACTGGAGTTAAATTTTTAACTGGATGGTGACTTTGGGGTCCAGAGGCATCTCTGCAGCTTGTTGCTCTCTTTCTAGATTTATTTGTGAATCTCTGTTTCATAGCTGCTAATGAGGTTGTATGGTGCCAGAGCAGTTCGTGGGCATGACTGCCAGGCTCTTGGAAGGACAAGGAGATGGAGGGAAGTCACCTATTCCTGATTCTGTGAGAGCCTGAAGATTTTGGTCATAAAACCCTCATACCTGAGTTTTTCAGACCTAATTTTGCTTTGGAATGTCATGTAAATTAAACCATATGATATATAATATTTTGAGTTTGGCTATTTCACTAAGTCTAGTGTCTTTGCTCAATAGTTCACTTTTTTATTGCTCAAAAACATTTTGCTGAATGATTTATCCAGTTGCCCATTCAAGGACATTTGTATTATTTCCAGTTTTTGATAACTATAAATAGCTATAAAAAATTTCCACTCAGAATTGTGTGTGATTAAGAGTTTTAATTTTCTCCATGGTAACATTTAGGATAAAGATATCTGGATAGATAGGAGACTAACACCCAAGAATAGACGAGATAGGTACTATAAAGTTCACTCCATGGCTTGGAGGCCAGCTGCACATGCTAGGGGAAAAGGCAGCTCAGATAGAGAAGGGAGCACCAAGTAAAGGTCCTCCCAGGATGAGAGATGCATGCTGAAAGTAGACTATAGACCGAACATGATTGCCACTCACTGCCTCTTTGCAAACGGTAACTATAAATAGCTTTAAAAAATTTCCACTCAGATTTGTGTGTGTGTGTGATTAAGAGTTTTAATTTTCTCCATGTTAACATTTAGGATAAAGATATCTGGATAGATAGGAGACTAACACCCAAGAATAGCTGAGATAGGTACCATAAGGTTCACTCCATGGCTTGGAGGCCAGCTGCACATGCTAGGGGAAAAGGCAGCTCAGATAGAGAAGGGAGCACCATGTAAAGCATGTTGGGAGGATCCTCCCAGGATGGGAGATGCATGCTGAAACTATAGATCGAACATGATTGGCACTCAATGCCTCTTTTGCAAACCACAGCACCCAAAAGGAGAGAGAGAACAAAAGGGAATGCCCTGTTACAGAGACGGGGTGGGATGGGGGGATGGGATGGGAGGGATACTGGGATCATTGGTGGTGGAGAATGGGCACTGGTGGAGGGATAGATACTCGATTGTTGTATAACTGAAACCCAAGCTCAAAAACGTGTGAGTTCACAACTGTACCTCATGGTGTTTCACTAATAAGAATTTAAAAAAAAAGACATCTGGATAGAGACCAGAGAGATAGTACTGGAACTAAGGCACAGAGTAACCCTGGTTTGAGTCCCTGATCCTACCTATAGGTCCTTGTATATGGTTCATTAAGCACTGCCAGGCGTGATCCATAAGCACAGAGTCAGTTGTAAATCCTGAGTACTGTTGGCTGTGGCTCCCAACCCATTCCATCCCATAAATAAAAGGCTGCTGGGTCATGTTTCAAGTATAATTTAACTTTAAAAAAATGGTTAAATTTGCGTTGTTCCTGCAATGATGAGACATCCAATTTCTTTTTATTCCTCTGTAAGTTTTGGTATTATTCATTTAAATAATTTTTATAACGATTTTAGAACATAAAGTCATTCTACAGAAAGTTATATTTCACTGTTTTGTTTATTTAGTTATTTGGTTTTGGTTTGGGGGATCATGTCCAGTGGTGCTCTGAGGCTACTCCCAGCTCAGCACGTGGCAATTTGGTCCTGGCAGTCCTCAGAGGACCATGTGGTGCCAGGAATGAAATCTGGGCCCCCTACATGTGAAACATGTGCTCTAGCCCATCAATCTCTCTTGATGGGCTAAAACCCTCACTGTGTTTTAATTGGCATATTCCTTAATTAATATTATTGAGGGTTTTTTTCTGTGTTTAGTTTTTACTCACATAATTTCTTTTGTGAAGTTTGTCCAGATTTTTTGTTCCATTTTTTAAATTATAGAGTTGTTTCTTATTTTTAAACTGAGAATACTTTTTAATTATTTTTTGGGTGGGGAGCGCATATCTAGCAGTTTTCAGGGCTTCCTGCTGGCTCTGTTCTCAGGAATTAAGCTGAGTTAAAAAAAAATAATGTGGATATAATAGCACTGTTGAATATAAGAATATTTTCTTCCATTCTGTAGTTTATGTTTTTATACTCTGAGTTTAGGGAGGGTTTTTTTTTTCTTTGAGATGGGTAGTACCAAACATTTGGCAGTGCTTAGGGTCTTCTGATTCTGTGCTCAAGAGTAGATCCCAGAGATGATAGGGAGAGGGGTGTGCAAATTATGCAACATTGCAGGGATCGAACCCAGATCTCCTGTATGCAAAGTACGCACTCAGGTCATTGAGCCATTTCTCTAGCACAGGGCACTCATTCTCTTAAAAGTCTCTCTCCCAGGGCTGAAGAGAAAGTACAAAGTCAAGAGTTCATAGAGCACAGAGCACGAACTAGCCCCTGAGAATCACTGGTGAATTTCCAAAACAAAACAAAAAAGGAGGAGTATCTTTATCAGAGAAAAATATTTAAATTTTGATAATGTTTAATTCATAAAATTTTTCTTTGTGGGGAGGCGGGGCCTGGGCCAACAAGGCCTGTGGTTCAATGAAAGGGCCTGGAGCATGAGGTGCTGCTTGGGCCCTTCAGTGCCACAGGTTACTGGGCCAACCTGACAGTGCTGAGGCCCTCCAGGGCCACACCCAGAGGCTACATGGTGCTGGAAATCCAATGCAGATCGGCACATACTACGCCTGATCCTGTACTACCTATTGGTCCCTATAAGACTTTTCTTCTATGCCTTGTGCTCACTATATATGAAATACAGATATTTTTTAATTAAAGTTCTTAAATATTTCATTCAGTTTTCCTCCAAAATATAGTTATAGAAAACTGTATTTTATATTTAGACCTCTGATCAACTTTAAATTAATTCTTTGTAGGAGATTTGAGAAAAAGGCTGAGATTAATGTCTCTTTGCATGGATGTCCATTTATTATAAAATTGTTCACTGAATAACCTTCTTCCATTGAACATCCTTTACAATGTTGTTCAAAGAAATCAATTTGCCATGCTTCTCAGAATCATAATTTTTATGATTATTCTGTTCTGTTAGTCTCTATGTCTATCATTTTGCCAGTATCTTGGGGCCAGAGAGAAAACTCAATGGCCTGAATGCATGCTTTGCATGTGGAGTTGCCAGGGTTAGCTCCCAGCACTGCATGGTCTCCCAAGTACCACTTGGAGCCAGCCTGGTGCACAGAGCTGAGAGCAGACCCTTGCATTGCCCACTGTGAACCAAAACAACAAGCTAGCAAAATATTACAATATCTTATTTACTAATAGTTTTATTTTAAGTTTTGCAATAATATAGTACAAACCTTTCACATTTTTCTTTTTTTAAAAAAAAATTTCTTTTACCTAGTCTAATTTTTCTGACTTCCCTTATAAATATCAGAACTAGGTTTTGCACTCATACATTTTCTCTGGGATTTTGGTTAGAACTGTAGTAAGTCTAAAGATTCATTTGAGAGTTTAAATCTTAACAAAATTGACTTTTCTAATCTATTAACATCATATATTCATTTACTTATTTAATCTTTCTTTGATTTCCTTCATCAGCGTTTAATAGTTTTTAGCATGCAAAATCCTGTACATATATTGCTATATTAACATATAATTATTTATTTTTGTATGCTATTCTAAATTTTATGCTCCAATTAT